GACCTTGAGCTGTGTAAGGGGCCCCAAAAAATGGAGCTGCTTCCAATTCTCCCAGAACATTGAATTTTGTGACCACAGCTGCAAACAGCCTCCAGAGATCCTGTTCTACACCAGACCAGTGGAGCCAAACTGCAGCCCATCATCATCCTCATCTGCTTGTAAGTAGGCAATCTAGTATATTATTAGTGACACTAATCTATAATGTACCTCACATTAAAGGGACACTATAGCTTAATGAAGTGGTTCTGGTGTCTATAGCTGGTCCCTGCAGGCTTTTTAATGTAAACACACACTGTGTGCAGCACTGGCGTTAGTTCATATGGGTGGGGCATTGTGATGTCACATGGGGGGCAGCAAATTTTTATTTTGTCTAGGGCGGCAAAAATCCTTGCACCGGCACTGATCCTGGGCAGGTGCACCAGTCTACTGGTGACCCACAGGAGGGGAGTGCACTGATTGCACTGCACTCTCCTCCTGTCCAGCCCCATCTTTACCGCAGTGCAAGTGCCCTCTGCCCCTAATTTACAGTGGCTCACACTCACAACAAGCAGTGCCTGGAGCCGTGAAGGAGCGGGTATGGCAAAGAGCTACTGATTAGCATAACATCAATATCCGTTATAAAACCAGGAAAAGGTGGGCATGGATGGTGAACTGATTTGGTGGTGCAATGGGCCACTTGACTGGTTTTGCCCCCCAGGCCTAAGGCTGCCAGCCCTCCCCTGCCCCACATACACTTTGATCTGGAGGCAGAGAGAGGCAGAGAGAGGTTTTATCTCACATAGAGAGTTACTGTGTGAAAAAGCTGAGAAGTTAAGAAAAAAACCCTGTGATTTTATTAAGCCTTTCAATGCTAATCGCAGCATTAACCCTGTGATTAGTTTTTTGCTTTTTTTTGTGAGGGCACATTTCAAATACTACAATTGTAGTATTTTGAGTTGTTTGGTGTAGCCACTTTAGAATGGCTAGCGTAAACAGGGACAAGCCAAGGTCAGGGGAATCCAGAAGTTAGAGTAGTTGGTAAAACAAGCCAATGGGTCGGTACAGGCAGCTAACAAAGCGTAGTCAGGACAAGCCGAGGTCAATAATCCAGGGAAATCAAGCAAACAAACTGCCAAAGTCCCATACAGAGTGATTTAGAAGTTCAGCTCTGTATGGTAGACTTTGAAACAGTCTGTTATGCAGAGGCCGGGTTTAGATGGACAAGTTGGGCAATAATAACTAGAGTCCTTTCGGACTCCTTTCTTGTAGCAAACACAGCACTTTTTTGGGGAATTTCTTTTACTAGCGGTGGCAGGGATTCGGGAAGGGAAGTGTTTGCCACAAAGTCTTTGGAGATCTTCTGATCCCAAAGTGGGATTGGGGGGCTGGGTAAATAATAAATGTGACAAAAGGCTTAGAGTGAAGTCTAGGAAAGGGCAGGGCCTACCTATGACCTCTTTTTTATAGAGGACATAGGCATTGAAAATTGCAATCTGGCTCACGTAGATTGCAATTTTCTTGTACCAGGTCCTAGTTTTCCGGTTCACTAGATAGGGCTGTATGCATTGGTCAGCCAAGTCTACTCCCCCCATAAACTTGCTGTAGTCTACAATGCACTTCGGCTTTTCCAGATGCTCAGTGCTACCTCTCACAGACACTGGCACTGTACTTTCGTCATGCATTGTAGACAGCATGTATACATCCTTTCTATCTGTGAAACGAAGGGCAAGCAACTCATCCTGGCGGAGGGCTGAAGAGGAACCTCTTCTGCTTCTGCCTCTTGCCAGGGTTTGGGGGAAACCCCTGTGATTCTTCCTCACTGTGCCACAGGCTAGGGTTTCAAAGTAATATAAATTTTTAAATAACTGTATACTGGTATAATAATTGTGAACCCATAGCCTATATCCCTTATTTAACAAGGGAAGGGATAGATCTCAAACAATCTTTCCACTTGTACCCACAGAATCAGGACATCCTGGTGGGTCAAGATGGCTATCCTTCCCCTGGTAAATGCGAAACGCCCATGTGTAACCAGTACAGGATTCGCATAATTTATAAAATGTAACGCCATATCGGGACCGCTTAGAAGGAATGTATTGCTTAAATAGCAGTCGACCTTTGAATTTCATAAGGGACTCGTCAATTGAAATATCTTTATCGGGGATATAATTTTCAGAAAATTTGTCTGACAGGAGTTGGATAAAGGGACGAATTTTATAGAGCCTGTCAAACAGTGGGTCATTTCTAGGGGGACACAGTGAGTTGTCATTAAAATGAAGGAATCGCAGCAGTTGCAGATAGCGATCCCTCTGCATAACCTCAGGGAAAAGAGGGGTAGCCATGATGCGTTGCTTGCTCCAGTAGGACCTGATACTGGGCTTTTAAACTATACCCATCATTAGGGTTAAAGCCCAAAACCGCTTCATCTCTGCGACATCCGTGGGTCTCCACGTATTCCTGCGATTATGATGGGACCCCGGATGTGCAGAGAGATACTGCATAGCAAACAAATTTGTTTGCTGAGCCATGAGCTCAAATACATCGTCCGACATAAATAGCTCAAAAAAACGAATTGGCTCGCAGTCGTCCACTGTTACAGTGATGCCAGGTGTAACAGTGAACGGCGGTATTTCTGGTGCCATCATGTTTGAAGGCACCCAGTCTCCCTCTGGCATTGGGCATTCTGAGTGTCCTCTTTCGAGTGGTGGTGGGGAACCATCACTTGAGGTCTCACTCAGAGGCTCAATGTCAGAGGCAGTGATAGTGTCACTGTCTTGCAGAGTGTCACTATCACTGCCTGCCAGAATGGCATACGCCTCCTCGGCTGAGTAGCGACGTGCCATTCTAGGGGGAAAAAAATTAAGTGAAAAGGGCTAAGGGGCTAATTAATTAACTACCTGCCTAACACCCACTACCCACTCTCAAAAATAAAATAAATGTACTGATCACAGTAAAGGGAGTTGCGATCAGTACTGAAAGGGTTATTTTTAAGTTATGAAAAAAAAATAACCCTTAAAAAAAAAAAAAAAAGTCAGCCTGATCAGAGAGCCCTCTGATCACAGTGATCACTGATATAGTACCGTACAGCAGATATACTGTACAGTACAGTGATCACGGCAGCAGGGAAAGGGTAATGGAGATTTGGGTTGCTGCAACTGACACAATGGGTCAAAAAAAATGAGAAATTATTTTTTTTGACCCAAATTTTTTTTAAAAAAATAAAGTACAAAAGTACTTGATGCCCTATTCAGCTGATGACAGTAATAAACTGTGATCAGTGCTGAAAGGGTTAAATAAAATATATATATTTTCAAAACTTTTATAAAGTAATAAAACTTTTTTTTTTTCCACAGGAGCTCTAAAACCAACAATGTCTCTGCCTCTCTCTCTCAGATCGAAGTGAGGTGAGGAGAGGGGCAGAGACAAAGTGTCAGCCAATGACCTGAGGTCATTGGCTGACACATAGTAATAGTGATCACAGTGACTGGCTGTCACTGTGATCACCTCCTGCAGATTGGTTATTTGACCACAGGGGGGAGTGCCTGGGTGGTACAAGCACTCCCCCTACCAATCTGCAGGGGGATCATGGTGCCTGTTACATGTATCAGCCATTAGGCTGATACATGTAGCACTGATCGCAGTGACAGGCTGTCACTGCGATCAGAGCACTCTGAGAAGGTGCAGATCGCGGTCACTGACCCCAGGGGGACTGCCTGGGGGGCCAGGTAAGTCACCCGACCGCGATCTGCACAGCAGAAAGCCGCCGGCCACGTGTGTGATCGCAGTGACAGGCGGTCACTGCGATCACAGCACTGTGAGATCGCAGTGACAGCCTGTCACTGCGATCTCACACAGTGCAGATCGCGGTCACTGACCCCAGGGGGACTGCCTCAGGGGCCAGGTATGTCATCTGACCGCGATCTGCACAAGGGTAGCCGCTGGCCACGTGTGTCCGCCGATTTCAAATCGGCTGACACACGTTTAAAAACTGATCGTAGTGACAGCCTGTCACTGCGATCAGATGCTGCAGATCGCAGTCACCGGCCACAGGGGGGGTTGCCTGGGGGCCAGGCATCCCCCCCGACCATGATCTGCAGAGGAAGATTAGAGCCGGCCAAGTGGGCGGCCATTATAGCGAGGGCGTACTATTACGTCCGCCGGCGTTTAGAGCCGGCTCCTGCAGGGCGTAATAGTACGCCCTCCGGATTTAAGGGGTTAACATAGTCATTGTGTGTCCCTTGTTCATGGGCTTCGACTCATCAAATGCCGTTCGAATTGTCGAAGTTTCCTGGCAGGTAACTTTTCAACAGTGTTCATTTCAGCCAAATAAGATGGCCGTGGCCACTTCGACTTCTTCGACTGTTCGAAATGCTATTGTTCAAAGTCCAAATAGGCACAAATAGGGTCTCTCAATATTAAAGGGGCCATATTCATAGGGAAAATCAAGACTACTGAGCAAACAGATGAAATAAGAAATAGAATATAAAATCCAAGGACAGAGTGGTCTGTCACAGTTAGTCCATAGAATACCAGTCTAGCTACTGCAAGCAGGGAAGACTGATTCTTAAGGAGCTTAGTGTTTAAAAAATTAATGCTTGTAATGATTAGAAAATTCAGAGTACATATAACAACACTATATACACAATAATTAACGTAATCTAGAAAGGTCAAAGTCTCTATAAATCTTCATGAGTACAAATACTTAATGCCAAATAATCATGTTTGTCTTAATTTTTTTTCTCTGACACTTCCTGTTATAATCTCTGGAAAATGGTCTATGACCATTTTTAGTTGGAAAAGTATACTATGTAAAAAGGATGTGTATTAATTATAAATATACAGGACAGAAGAGAATAAAAATAAAAGCTGGAATAATAATTTATTGCATGGCTGGAAAGTGCAAAATGTATTACGTGTAACATGTTCTTAACTTCTTCACTACTGTGCACAATTTATTAAAAAAAATAAAAATAAACATATTTTGTAAGGGAGTTGGTCCATTCTGCTTTGGACCATATTACCCCTGTTTCAGTTGCCCATTGTGCCCTATAGGAGATGCTCTGTATGATGGTCTTGTAACGTAGAGAGAGAGCTTTAGGTTTGGTGGGCATTTTGCGGCACCTGTCGTAGATCTCTAGAGCCTCATTTTGACCTGCATGGGACAAATCAGCCTGTGCGTATACATGTGTGTGAATAATGCTTTTGAGCTGCAGGTACAAGAAAAGATAGGAGTTTGGTAGACCAAATTGCTGTTGTAGCTCTGGGAAGGGGAGAACTTTGTTCTGGTGTTGCATGGATTCAATGGATATTATGCCATGTTTGACCCAGTTTTGAAAGGTAAGCCCAGGGCTGACCATGCTGATGGATGTGAGGGGTGCACCTGGATGGAATCGAAGGTGGGTGTGGTGTTGCTTCTGAAGGAGGTCCCAGTGGTGCATTGCTAGTTTCGTAGTGAGGAACAGGCCCGGTAGGTTTGGGCGTAATGCTTTAGGGGTCCACAGTAGGTCTGTTAGCCTCCGTCCATGGCTGCTCCCATTTTCTATGTCCACCTATTGGAGTGTTTTATCTGGGGTATGTAATTTTATTGCTGCTTCGATATGGATGGCTTTGTAGTAGGACAGTAAATTATTCCTCCCCTAGAGCTCTTCCTATGTAGTAGGGATGCAGGTATCCTTGGTTTGTCTGGAGCCCACAAGAAGGTCATAAAGACCGATTGTAACTGTTTGCAGAACGAGACAGGGATATGTATTGGCAACATGCGAAAAATTTATAGGACTTTTGGGAGCAGGACCATTTTGATTGTGTTATTTCTTCCTAGCCAAGAAAGGTGGATTGACTTCCACTTGAGGATGTCTGTTTTGCATTGAGAGATTAGTGGTTTGAAATTGTGTGCAAATAATTCTCCCGTTGTAGGGGCTATCTTGATCCCTAGGTAGGTGATGTGGTTAGTGCGCCAATGAAAAGCGTGTTGTTGTTGGAGCGTTTGTAATAAGGTTGGGATGGCTATAGGCAAGGCCTGGGTTTTGGATCTATTCAGCTTATAGTTAGAGACTGCACCTTATGAGTCCAAGATAGACAACAGTGCCCGTAGTGACTTGTCAGGTTTGCTTAGGGTTAGTAGTATGTCATCTGCAAATAGGGATAATCGGTGTTCCTGTTTTCCTATCCGGATTCCCCTAATGTGTTGGTGCGATCTAATCTTGTGCGCTAGGGGTTCTAGTGACAGGGGGACAATGGGCATCCCTGCCTGGTCCCATTTGTGATTCAAAATGGTGTGGATAGGAATCCTGCGTTAGATACTCTGGCTGTGGGGTTGTTGTAAAGGGCCATTATGCCTTGTAGAAACACGGGTGGGAAGCCGTTATGCAGTAGAACCTGGGACATATAGGTCCAATTTAGTCTGTCAAAGGCCTTCTCCGCGTCAAGGGTGAGGAGGAGGCCCCGGCTATTGTTCGAGTGCATGTGAGATAGGATGTTCAGCAATTTTCTGGTATTGTCTGACCCTTGCCTATGTTTGACGAAGCCTGATTGATCATTATGTGTGAGGGAAGGGAGGATTAAAGACAATCGGTTCACCAACAGTTTTGCATATAATTTTACATCTCCGTTGAGTAGCGAGATGGGCCTAAAGTTCTGGCATTGTGTCTTTCCCTGGTTTGGGTAGTGTGGAGATGTGGGCTGTTAGCATTTCACTTGGGATTTGGCCTTTGGAGTAGCCGGCGTTAAACAGTGCCGTCAGATGTGGGGCAAGTGTGTCAGCGTGCGTTTGGTAATATTTGTTGGTGTATCCATCAGGGCCTGGAGCTTTATGTTTGGGTAGTCGATGTATGGCCTGTTTAATTTCCTTTTCTTCGAATGGTGTGGATATGGAGTCTGTCAGCTTGAGTTAGTTGGGGTAGATGAATGTCTGTGAGGAAGTTTTGAATAGACTCTATGGTAGGAAGCGTAGTCTGGGGGTCATCTGTGAGATTGTATAGATTGCTGTAATATGAGGCAAATTCATTAACCATGTCTTGGGGGTTTAAGATTTTGGAGCCCTGTTTTGTGTGTAAATAGGCAATCTTGGTGTTGCATGCTTTCGCTTTTAGTTTCGATGCTAGCAGTGTTCCTGCTTTATTGCCTTGTGCGAAAAAATTGTGTTTGTATCTTTGTAGGAGATATGTTGTTTTTTGAAGTTCTAGATTTTCTTGTTAGAGACATGCCATTAGCGGGTTGTTTGACCTTGTGCGGAAATTGGTGGATAGTTTGTGACTTATTACAGGTGGACATGGGGTGGGCGGGGGGGACATTTAAACAGGACAGATAGAGGGTAAAACATATGTACATTAAGCCATCTGAGGCAGCGCGGGTGCGTTGCGATGGCAGAATCATGGCTCTGAGGAGCCTGTGGGGAGTGAAGGTGGGTAGCCCACCTGGCTTGCGACCCATGGTGCTAATAGTGAGTCAGGGTTGGTGTTACAGGAACCAGTTGGACCGTAGTCCCTGGTTGTGTTGCTTAGGGATGCGGAGTTAGTGTTAGTGTAGTGAATGCAGAGTGTGTTGATGTGTAGCGAATGCAGAGTGTGTGTCAGTGTAGTGGATGCAGTGAGTGTGTTAGTGTGTAGTGTATGCAGAGTGTATGTTGTATTAGTGTATGCAGTGTGTATTGTATTAGTGTATGCAGTGTGTATTGTATTAGTGTATGCAGTGTATGTGTTGTGTTAGTGGGTGTCTGACCCCGTTTCTCTTGACCAGCATGATGTGGCTATGTGTAGAGCTGGGCCAGTTCAATGAGAGGTCATGGAAACTCCAGTGCATGAGTCGTCCCAGGGAAGCATATTTCTAGTGGTGTTGGTTCTCATGTCTATAAGCAATGTTAAGGGGGTATCCCATCTATCCCAAACAATTTCCAGTATAAAATTGGATGAAAAACACAACATTTAAACATTTAAATGGTGAAACATGTATGCATATGTCATACGTTACCACGCCGTTAGTCGGCAAGGGGCTTGCAGGCAGGTGTGCTTGTAAAGTAAAACAGTCACTTGGCTGTTGCCACAGTTTGACAGTCCCTGGTTACTCTCGTGGGGGAAGAATGCATGGTTTTTGACTGTTCTGCAGTGCCCGGCAGGTGAAGCTGTATGTTCCATTCCTCCAGCAGTTGTCCTTCTTCTATGTTGGTGATGTGGCGTTCTACTCCATTATGACTCAGCATGAGGTGAGTCGGGTACCCCCACCTGTACATGATGTTGGCATCTCTCAGTGCTTTTGTGATGGGTAGGAGGCTTTTACGCTTTGAGAGGGTGGCCGCTGAGAGGTCTGTATACAGCGTTACGCCTGTGAACCTGTCCGGCAGTGTTGGCTGTAGTTTAGATGCTTGTATGATCTTTTCTTTGGAGGTATAGTAGTGCAGTTTAATAATGGTGTCTCTCGGTACTGAGGGGCCAAGATGTCTAGGCCGCGGCAGCCTGTGTATGCGGTCCATCAGCAGGAAGGGTTCCCCGATGTCTGGGACCAGGGCTTGGAAGAGGTCTGTGGCATAGGCCCTAAGGTCTTGTGGCAGGACCGTCTCAGGTATCCCGTGCAGGCGTATGTTGCTGTGCCTGCTCCTGTCCTCTTGGTCCATTAGCTTGTCAGTCAGGTATTCTACATTGGATGTTAATTCCCCATAGGCATCCGCTAAGGTGTTGTGGGCCGAGATCAGTTCTTCTGTTTTGTCCTCTAGGTGTGTAGTTCTGTCCCCCAGTGCCTGTATTTCCACTTTTATGCCTCTGGCTACTTTTGTGATGTCTGCTTGTAGCGTAGACTTTAGGTCTTAGACCATCCTGTGGACAGACAGGTCTGTGGCAGGAGCTGTGGTAGGTAAGGAGATTGTAATGTTATCAGTCCGTTCGGAGCACAAGGTAGGTGAGCTGGGGGATCTGGCGCCATCTTGGTGTAGCTGGCGCGGAGAGGTAAGCGCCGCTACTTGAAGTGCTGGACGTTTGCGTCTCTTTTTTTGAGCTTTTGGTTGCCATAGCCTGGCAGGTAGGTCTTGGCTGGATTAGGTTTGGGTAGTCGCCGATTTTCTGCTCTGCTTATCGCTGTTTCGGGTCGCACTGTGAGGGAGCGAAGCTCTCACGCGGCCATCTTGGTGCGCGTCCAGACCATGCCCCCACACAAAACTATTTTTAGATCCACAAATGAGAAAAGGAAAGTAAAACAAGGATTGGTTAGATTAAAAATAGAAAACTGCCTCAATGAATATTTTTGTTCAGTATTTACAGATGAAAATGAAGGAAAGGGACCTCTGTTAGGAAAAAGGACAAATGTGTAATTTGTTACATGTGAGTCTACAGAGGAAGATGCTCTATTTCAACTGTCAAAAATAAAGACAAATAAGTCAATGGGGCCTGATGGAATACACCCAGAGTTATTAAAATAGCTTTGGTGTACTAGCAAAACCATTAACTGATTTATTTAACCAAATCATTGTTAACAGGGGTAGTCCCAAAAGATAGTAATCAAATGTTGTTCCCATTCACAAGAAAGGTATTTGCTGGCATTATATAAATAATAATAATAAAAGGTAATAGGGAGGAGCTGGGTAACAATAGGCCAGTAAGCCTTACTTCAGTAGTGGGGAAAGTGATGGAAACCATATTAAAGGATAGGATTGTTGAACATCTAAAATCACATGGATTTCAAGATCAGAGACAATATGGGTTTACTTCAGGGAGATCAATCCAAACTAATCGTATTGATTTTTTTGATTGGGTAACTAAAATAATAGTTTAGGGTGGTGCAGTAGACATTGCTTACCTAGATTTCAATAAGGCTTTTGACACTGTTGTACATAGAAGACTTGTCGTCGGGGACAATAAGCCAAGTTATAGTAGTAGTGGCATAACTCAGTTGTAGTGTGCGGGAACCGATGTTCAGGTAGGCCTGTAAAAAGAGGGCCAACCAAGTTGAATTGTTTGATAAAGGGAGCAGTGGGTGGGATGATCCATGCAGCAACAGCATAGAGGAAGGGGAAGCCTGTATATTTATAGGCAAACTAATCCATCCCATAATTCCAGGCTCCACCCACAGGCTTAACCTTCTATTTGTGGTCGGGGACAATAAGCAGAGTTATAGTAGTAGTGGCAAGTCGGTTGTGGTGTGCGGGAACCGATGTACGGGTAGGCCTGTAAAAAGAGGGCAAATGTTTAATAGTTTACAACTTATTACATGTTGACATTACATAACCAATACTTAAATATTTTTCATCATTATAACCATACCTAAAAGAGCAACAGTTTGTTAATGGGAGATACTGTATAACACGCAGGTACTGGTTGACCCTTATTAAGCCAAGTGGCAAAACTATTAAGCTAAATTGGTGACTTGGGAACCTAACTAGTTGCCAAGGGGTGATGAGAGGCTCTATATATATCTAAACCGGCGGTGGTGGGGAGGTTCGAATGGGTCTAGCAATACAGGGTGGCTGCGTGATCTGTGTTGGGATTAATGCAGGTAACAGGTAGGATGCAAAACAGAAAAAGGTTGTGTAGTTGTGGAACATTTGTATAGGACTGAGACATGATGATGATGATGATGATGAGACGAGAGTTACTTATAAATATCAAGTGTATGAAATGTTGAACAGAATAGAGACTGTGTGTAAACTCTTATACACTTAGTATTATACATACCCACTGATCCAAATAATCATGGTATCTGCAGACTGACCCATAACAGGAACTGAGGCCCATGCCTCTAGAATGCAACAGTGGGCGAAAGGCTTTAGTGGGTTTAATGGCCATATACTACATAAGAGTGTAATGAGATATAAGACAAATGTATGGAACTCTTAGGAGGATGATAAATACTTATAATAAGCCTGGAAGAATAAGGTTGAAGGCTGGGGGATCCGACACAATGTTAGAATAATCGTAGAATAACAGTAATATTAGCATAAGCTATAACTTTATTGATTAATGAACATGACTGCATGAGATAAACTGAACGCATGTGGATTGAATGAATATGACAGTAAAAGTTATTACAATACCTGGGCCAGTTGAAATGTGGTCGTGGTTATTTATTTTTTACAAAGTTCTAAATCATATTAAATCATTTGAAAAGCTTATTCAAAAATAATAAAATATTAAATTATATATTTTGATACATCAGAAATTCATTCCTCTACAGGCTTTTATAGTCTTAACTAAAGTATAAATAAAGCTTAGCCATTATAGACCAGATTAACCTCTGCAAAATACTTGAAAACTAACATGTTTTTACTCAATTTAGGTACTGAAGTGGTCAAGGAGTATATGATTACTGGATGAACATGATATAAAATTATTTAAATCACACCAACATACTTTCACCCAACATACCACTTGTGATCCAGCTAAAATAATTGTTTTGGATTTAATCTCCCACAGGTTTAACTAATCATACCAGTTGCTTATTTATTGCTATTCTGAATATCCAGTACCTGACCTTTGGATGACTCCCATTTATGAAACTCTGCTGCCTGACCTGAACTTTTGCCATCCAGCCTAACCTTTTCCTTATTCTTACCTCTCGTTGGGCTTTCTCAGTCTATTACTGCAACCTGGGCTCAGTAACTCCAAACACAAGCAGCTTCCTTCATGGCACCAATATCACAAACCCTGCAAGATGCTCATCTTAGTAGTATTTTTATGATTTTTCAGGAAGGTAGGAGTACAAACATACCGAATTGCGATAGTTGCATTAAGACTACTAAAACAGGTAACCAAATATCCCAAACTCTCATCTGGCACTCACAGTATGAATGTAAGGGATCTGTATCTAAATGTAGATATTTGGATATTGATTATAGTGTGTGCAAGCCAATATCAGGAGAGTCTAAATGTTTCGATCCCCAATTCCAACCCCGTACAATTTGGTTGGTAATTAGGAATAGTAATTCCCAGGGAACTTTGATAAATAGGACTGTGATAAATGCCATACATTCTACAGGTGTTCTGCTATTTGATGCATGTAAGGTGATTTCTGGTAGTGAAAAACCTTGGAATGTATGTGGTAATCTTAAATGGGAACGAACTTATGGGTTTAATGATAAATACTTATGTCCCAGTAAAAGATCTACTGATCCTGATTGCCCAAATAGAGATTATAATTTTTGTCCCTATTGGTCTTGTGTAGGGTGGGCAACCTGGGGAAAAACAGTGGATCAAGATATGATTATCCAAAGGTTGCCTACCACACCATACTGTAAATCTATGGAATGTCCATATGACCATCTTTAATCCCCAGCATTTTATTGACAAATTTGGAAATATTTTTGGGTTCCAAATATATGGCACAGGAGTAGATCCAGAAACAATAATATATGTAGGTCTTGAAACTGAGACAGTGGCAACTCAAACTCTTCAGGTTTTCCATTCCTTTTATGAGGAGATGAGTGTTGAGGATAAAATTCCCCATAATGTTAATAACCTATTTATTGATTTGGCTGAGAGTATTGCAGGTCGTCTTAATGTAACTAATTGCTATGTGTGTGGAGGTACAAATATGGGAGACCAGTGGCCATGGGAGGCAAAGGAAATATGGTACTCTGGCTCTGAGACATATGAACAACAGATACCTTTTCAGTCTGATCATCAAGTAAGTACTAGAAGTAAATCGGAATGGCGGTTAAAAACCTCCATTATAGGTCATGTTTGTATAGCCGGGAAAGGGACAATGTATAACATGTCTGTAGGTGAGCTAACTTGCTTGGGACAAAAAGTCTATAATGTTAATATTAAAAATACTACTTGGTGGTCAGCTTCAAATGTCTCGGAGCCTACTAATCCGTTTGCCAATTACACTCATTTAAAGGAGGTATGGTTTGACTTATCTGCTACATCTAGTTGGAAAGCCCGAGCAAATTTATACTGGATCTGTGGTAGGAAAGCTTATTCGGAGTTACCACATGTGTATTAGGTATGCTCAAGACATCCTTCTTCTTGTTGCCAATTGAGACAGGAGAGACCTTGGGAGTTAAGGTTTACGATGTAAATCATAAAAGGAAGAGAGCATCCTTGAATATAGGTAGTTGGGAAGATGATGAGTGGCCCCCTCAATGTATTATTAATTATTTTGGACCTGCTACTTGGGCAGAAGATGGCACTTATGGATATAGAACTCCGATATATATGCTCAACCGCATTATTAGACTACAGGCAGTGGTTGAGATTATTACTAATGAGACAGCTCAAGCGCTTAATCTTCTAGCTAAGCAAAATACCAGGATGTGATCAGCCATATACCAGAATAGGCTAGCCCTTGATTACTTATTAGCAGTGGAAGGAGGTGTATGCGGAAAGTTTAACCTTAGCAACTGTTGTTTGCATATAGATGATGAAGGTCAGGCAGTGGCTGAACTTACTAGTCACATGGTTAAACTTGCGCATGTACCGACTCAGGTCTGAAGTGGGTATAACCCAAGTAGTTGGTCTGGAAATTGGTATGAGCAGCTTGGAGGAATTAAGGCGTTAGTAGGAGGAGTAGTGTTTATCATATTCTTATGTCTTTTTCTGCCTTGTCTAATTCCACTAGTGGTAAGGTCTATACGTAGTATTATAGAGAGCACTATAGAGAGAAAGACAGCGGCTCATGTAATGGCTGTCTATAGATATGAT